GTGTATATGTTGCCTATAATCACGGACCTGGTGCTTATGACTAGAGATAAATAATTACTTAATTAAACATTTAAATAAATAAATATTTGTAAATGTGTTTACAAAACTGATAATAAGTATAATATATAAATGTTAGTGCTTTAATTATAATAAAGTTACACAACCGTTTAGATATAGGAATTATAGAATTGAAGAATTATCAAGGTATTTATGACTTACAGGGACCAATAGCCAACGAAAATGACTGAAGAATCTGTATCTGACAGACCACTTGACACTCGTTGTCCATATTTAGCTTTAAAACAAAATAAATGTATTTTTATATACTTATAAATAAAAAAAAGTACAAAAGTAGACAAAAATTAATTTACGGCAACGGCTCCGATATAGACCACATTGGGATCGTCGAGACTATTGTTGGCGCTATTCAAACAGCACTCATCGAACGGACTGTATATACTCGACATATTCATGCCATTCACGCCCGACAACCCCGTAGACGACGAGTCTGTGGGCAATGTCTCCAGCGGTGGTAATGTTTGGCCATTTACTACGAGTGACCGCGAAGTTAAGAAATTATGTTAATTTTTAAATATAATATTACCTGAAATATAAGCGCAAACCACTAAAACAAATTGATTGATAAGAGTTTTGGACATATTTATTAAGTTACAAATAATATTATTAATAAGTATTTCTAGAGAAAGTAAAAGTTGTAATGAAGTTATTGTCTTGAGATAAGTTTTCTAATAAACAATTTGTTTATTATAGTTATATAGTATAATGCACATAATTAAATGTATGATCATGATGAATGCACCAAATTCTATATTTGAACTTGATTTTTGTTTTAGTAATCTAATAATTCCAATGGAAAAAGTTATAATGAATATTAAATACCCTATTAAACATCTACATTGGATGAAGACATGTGTATCTATAGTATTAAATTAATACTATTAATATTGTTTATTAATGATATTTTTCTTAATGCCATTACAAGGTATGAAATACTAAAATAAAATGCATTTTATGTCAAATCATTGTTTTTTATGCTTACTGTGAGAATCAATAGACAAACAACGATTTATTAATTAAATTCAGTGATCTTATAATGAAAATGTTGTTTATTATTATTGTTTAATTTTATATATCAAACCAATTGTATTTTGATAATAAATTACACGTTTAGTTATATATAATTTCAATATTGCAACTTATTGCAATTATACATCGATATTAATAGTTTAGTAAATACTAGAAATTATAATTAATTGTATTTCTAACTTTTATCATAAATAATAATTATTATTAGAATCAGTATAAAGAGGTGCTAGACCTCTATAATTTTAACAAATGGTTTCATTGGTCACATGGTTATTAATGATATAACATAATCTAGAAAATTTTAGAAATTAATAAATATACTAATATCAATAGTTGAAAGTTAATGCATTTCTAGAACCCAACATAAAATTTTAATTATATTATATATTGAATATATCAAATATTAATCACATTAATTTATTAATACAGTATACTTATTTACCAATTAATATATCTAACGTAAATTATTTTAATAAATATTTTGGTGGTCTAACTTAATTAAATAAAAACATTCATTATTGAATTTTTAATTGTCTAGGCTATATTTCATTGATAATGTAAAACTTAATCTAACTCGTAAGACGTTACAAAATTACAAGTATGGTAATTTTTTTTTTATAAGTTCAGTTATTGATTGACGTGGACTATGTAGAAGTAATAAACATTTACAATTATTAAATACAATCATTTTCAGCTATTTATAAATTTTAGGTTTAATAAGAAATTGTATTTTGTATATAAACATGTCTGTAATTATGAACAATCCTTCAGATTAAACAATTACTGCAAATAAAAACTGCTTTTGTGTCAAAATTACAAACCAAACTACAATGTGCTAAACAAAAGTTTTGTGTAACAAATTAAAGTATTGTTTAATAAAATTACATTAAATAAAAACAGCAAAGTCTGTATTTAATACAGTAATTATTGCGAAAACTATTGATATAATTTACATAAAATAGTTCTCTCTCTCTCTCTCTCTCTCTCTGACACAAACATAGATTCATTTATTATAACAAATATAGCACTAAATTAAAGGAAATTATTAGAACAAGAAATAAGTGAATAAATATTTATAGGAATATATAATGAATTGAATCAACTATTTCTTTGATATATTGTTATACAGTGTTATTCTCTATTACTGTATTTATAAAACTATAAGCATTTGATTTAATTTCATTTGAATTGCAATCAACAAATATAATTTACTAATGATTTGTCTGGTATTGACTGAATAGGCAACATGTTTGAATTGCACCAAGGTACTCATATACTGCAATCATTGGATGGCTTTGCGTTTGCATTGGGACACGACGGACGCTTCCTATACATCTCAGAGACCGTCTCTATCTATTTAGGACTGAGTCAAGTAATTATATCCATTTCCCTATCAATCCCTCTCACTATCATTACTACATCTAATTATAGGTGTAATTATTTATTCGTTATATGAATATTAGTTTTATATATCGCAACGAAATGAGGGAATTATATTATTTTATAAAATTGTGGTAAAATATATGATGTAATAAAACTAAAATCATTCACAATTTATAGCCTCTGACACTCGTTTCCTCTCTTCCTTTCTTATCATTTGCTTTAATAATTTGAAAATAAATAAAAAAAGCGGTCAAAAAAATTTATACTATAATTAAAAAGTTTAAAAAATAAGATAAAAAATATTTACGCTTTCGGGACAACAGTTTGTCTTCATTTTAATGAAGGAGAGGAAGTGAGAGGAAAATGATTTTTAAAATAAATGTTGTTTTATATACGCTTTTATAATAATTTTAGTCCTAATTATAGCTAATTAACTAAAACATTGAATCAAATTAATGTATTTAAAAATATCCACTATTTTATTTTGTTATCAGTATTTATTTATTGTCTCAAAGATGTTGTTTATATATAACATAATTAAAAAACTAGCGACTGATGCCTATCTGTGCCCAAAATACAGGTCGAGATGACAGGTTCGAGTGTTTTTGATTATACCCATCAACAGGATCATGCTGAATTGGCCGAACAACTAGGTATGTCCTCCATATGCATTAACTCTGCCAGACACTCGTCTACATACATATATTGTCACACACTTGATCCACAACTGCCTACACGACAGACAATACTTTTGTTAAGCACACATATATTGTTTGCTTTTATGATGTTAGCTATGCGTTGAGTAAGTGATACCTCACTTGACATGCAAGTGATTGAAAAGACTCTCTCCCGCTCTCTCTCTCTCTCCCACTCAATAAAGATATTTCGCTTATATTTTATTCTCTGATGTTTTTGTGAATTTTATTCACAGAAAATATATCTAAACAATAATAATAAACACAAGAATAAGAGATAAATTCATTCGTATTCATCACTGATTCGTCAGTTACAGAGATTGTATAGAAAAAGCGTTACATTCACTGAATTTTAAGTTTACCAAAAGTCTCTCTCTCTCTCTCTCTCTCTCTCTCTCTCTCTACAGTTAAGCATTGGTTTTAAAATGTAAACACAATTAGTTGTGTAAATACTAAACAGATAGCAAAGGAATGGAATATAAAATACAATACACACTAAAAAAAGTTTTATAACATTAATTTATTGTTTGATCTTTTATAGTATACCCAAACATAGAGAGCACAGGAATTTTGTTTTATTTTTGTAAGAACTAAACCGCAAACAGTTTTGCCAGTGTTTATAAATGGTTAGGTATTCCACGCCATCCCAACCCATGGTTTTACTGAATTAAATGCTAAAACTTTTTTCCGTCAGACATAAACCTAACGGACTGTTTATACTGTATATCAGAATCAAAGCGATTGATGTTTTCTTTATGTAAAGGGAATTAAGAATTTAGATTCTGTCCAAACATTGAGAGATTGTTGTTTTTAAATTGATTAATACATATCCGGTTATTTAGTTACTAATTATTACTATAAGCAAACAAAATAACAGACAAATTATTATTAATTCTTTAAATCCAAATTTGTATCTAAAAAATTGTCTAAAATTAATTACGATATAACAATAATGCAATGCATTGATTATCAATAATCACAATTAGGTCTAAACGTGAGCGCATCGGTGAGCCATCAGTTGTCATCGTCACCACTGCCACCGGCATCTGTGGGCTCGTCGGCCAGCAATGAGTCCGATTCCGGGACACCGTATAGTAATTCACACTCACATATAACGACCACCGGATCTAATGACACAATGGAGAGACAGTTTTGCATTCGCATGAAGTCGACGCTCACCAAAAGGGGTTGTCAGCACTTCAAGTCCAGTGGCTATCGTTGCGTACATATCGTCTCACATCTGAGGCCCGAAACGCCTTCCCAACAGCACACGAGGCGTGAGGCGAGCGGCGGGTCCACCAAAATCATCGGAATGGTTGCCGTCGCCATCGCATTGCCGCCGCCCTCTATCAATGAGCTTAGACTCGAGTCCGATATGTTTGTCACACGACTTGGCCTCGACTTTAGAATAGCCCACTGCGAGCCCAGGTATGCATTGCATTGCATTTTGCATTGCATTCGTTTGATTACTTCGTTATATTTATTGAGATTTTTTATGTTAACATGAGTTCTGACTTAAGATATGAGATACTACTGTATTTTAATTTGTGAACGAATGACATTTTTATATTTATTTTTAGATATATATTTTTGAGTGAATTTTGTTTGTTGTCTGACTGAATGCACACATTCTGTGTTTGATGTCATTTCTCTTTATTTCACATAATAATTACACAAAAAGTTTCCTCAATAAAAATCATTATACTTTTTATGATTATTTTTTAGTGTAATTGTTTTGGAGAGAGAGAGAGAGAGTATTCTAAAGTATACATTCTATGTATATCTTAATACTTATGATAAGAATTAGGTTTATTCGTGTTTAGAGAACATATTATTTGTGGGAAATATGCTTTAAAACATAGATATTAACGAAATCACATAAAATGTTAACTATTCGTGTATTTTGCAATTTATTTTACATTGTATCTTTTTCTTTGTCATAATAAGCAATGTTATTAATAAATGATTACTTTTTTGGTCACTACTGTCTGACAGGGTATCAGATTTGTTGAATTACACGTCGGATGAGTTGACGGGCCGTAACATGTATTCACTAATTCACGGACAGGACGTCATTCACATTCGCAAAAGTCATTTAGATTGTAAGCATTGGCTATAGATTTCATTTATAAGTTGGTGTCAGTCGAGTGAATCTTCTTATGGTTTCGATGGCTTATTGTATAGCTTTTATGAGATAATTAGTTTCCAAAGATATTTATGCCAAACATTAAGACAATTAAACCATTTTATTAGATATTTATTATTTTTGTAAATAATTATAGGAATATTAAAAATTTTATTGACTTGTTTTGTATACTTTAGAAACTTTTTAAAAGTTCTATTTTACGACATGATAAAATTGATGAAACAATTAGCCATAAACGAGAGCATAGATAGTGTACAATATATGACAAGTATTTGTCACAAAAGACTGAAACCAATATAATTAACAAAATGAAGAATTGATTTGTGAACAAATGATTGATTGGTACCCATTATAGTGATACATAAGGGACAGGTTATGACCAATTACTACCGGTTCATCAATAAGACCGGTGGTTACACGTGGGTCCAGACGTGCGCTACACTAATCTCCACCAACACGTCCACTGCCAATAAGGGTTCGGGCGGTACGACCAGCACAACACCCACACCCACCTCCTCGTCCACCAACAGCGCGCCCGACGATCACGAACAGAGCATTATTTGTGTCAATTATGTCTTAAGGTATTGTCCATCCATTCAATTGCTATATATTTGCATTTAATTAATTGAATTTTGTATTTGTTTCATACGTTAAGTGCTGTCGAGTTCAACGATGTAGTGATGGACACGAGTCAACTAAACGGAGGTCTGGTGGCCATCACTCCGCCCACACCTCCCGTTATCTCATCGCTCAACAAACGAAACAATCACTCAATTAAGAGGTCTCTATCGTCGACGCCGTCGCCTGAGTCGTCGTCGATGGCCACAACTCACCCGAACTCCCAGTTAAGTCATTCCCAACAGACGAGTGTTGACCACAACTCGCATCCGCAACACGTCTCGCACATTAGTCCCGCGCCTCCGCCGCCGCCACCGGCGCCGCAACCGGTGGTCGCAGTGACGCAAACCAATGGCTCGACCGGCAGTTCTCCCGTCGACGCGATCGCCAGCGAAAGTGCCAAAAGACGGCGATTCAACTCTAGTCCAGTGCGGCCGTGGAAGTCGCCCTCTCCTCCCCCTCCCANNNNACGGGAGGTGTGGGCGGAGTGATGGCCACCAGACCTCCGTTCAGTTGACTCGTGTCCATCACTACATCGTTGAACTCGATAGCACTTAACGTATGAAACAAATACAAAATTCAATTAATTAAATGCAAATATATAGCAATTGAATGGATGGACAATACCTTAAGACATAATTGACACAAATAATGCTCTGTTCGTGATCGTCGGGCGCGCTGTTGGTGGACGAGGAGGTGGGTGTGGGTGTTGTGCTGGTCGTACCGCCCGAACCCTTATTGGCAGTGGACGTGTTGGTGGAGATTAGTGTAGCGCACGTCTGAACCCACGTGTAACCACCGGTCTTATTGATGAACCGGTAGTAATTGGACATAACCTGTCCCTTATGTATCACTATAATGGGTACCAATCAATCATTTGTTCACAAATCAATTCTTCATTTTGTTAATTATATTGGTTTCAGTCTTTTGTGACAAATACTTGTCATATATTGTACCACCTATGCTCTCGTTTATGGCTAATTGTTTCATCAATTTTATCATGTCGTAAAATAGACTAGAACTTTTAAAAAGTTTCTAAAGTATACAAAACAAGTCAATAAAATTTTTAATATTCCTATAATTATTTACAAAAATAATAAATATCTAATAAAATGGTTTAATTGTCTTAATGTTTGGCATAAATATCTTTGGAAACTAATTATCTCATAAAAGCTATACAATAAGCCATCGAAACCATAAGAAGATTCACTCGACTGACACCAACTTATAAATGAAATCTATAGCGTTACGAATGTTAGATTTACTGAAAACGCTTACACTTACTGCAGGACAGGCACTTAATCACTTATGTACAATGCCGGGCAGTTGAGTAGGCTGCACATTAAGTTGTTTAGACTATGGGACAGTCTGTATAGTGACCAAAAAAGTAATCATTTATTAATAACATTGCTTATTATGACAAAGAAAAAGAAACAATGTAAAATAAATTACAAAATACACGAATAGTTAACATTTTATGTGATTTCGTTAATATCTATGTTTTAAAGCATATTTCCCACAAATAATATGTTCTCTAAACACGAATAAACCTAATTCTTATCATAAGTATTAGGATATACATAGAATGTATACTTTAGAATACTCTCTCTCTCTCTCTCTCTCTCTCTCTCTCTCTCCTTTGTTTCTTCTCGTTTTCAGTGAATTATCGCACAATTCATTGCATTAAACTAAATGAGTTTAAATTAGTTTTTGACAAACTTGCTTTTAAAATGCTATAATAAGTAAACATATAATTTGTATTATAAATTATAATGTATTAAACCATTCAAAGGGTTTATTATTTTATGTTTTAATAGCAATAAATAAAATAATATTATTTACCTTTTTAAATGGCTAAGTTTTAGACAATAATGTAAATTATAACTTTATAAAAGCAAGTTTAAACACATTCCCATTAACTTCACCATAACGTAAACCAAAAAACAACTGACTTAATGGTTAATTAATTAATAAATACAACAAATAATTTCACAAATAAATGAATATGAAATACAATCACATCTTTAATTACACTTATATTCTATGCAAACCATAAATTTAATCATTAATTAAGAAATTGAAATTATTTTATTTGTGAAATACTTGTTGTTTAAGTTGTTCTGTGAAAAGTCTTTATGAGTTTATATACATTAAGTGATAATTTATATGATTTAATGTTTTTTATAATTTTTAAAATTTAAATTGTTATAGTTTTTTATTTCATCGCAAAATTATAATAAGTATTTCATAAATAAATACAAATTATCAATAAATTAGAAGTCAATCGGAAAGCAAATAAAATAAAACACTAAATCATAAGAGTTTTTAATTTGTTTATATTATAAAACTATCCATTAATTAACTGTTATGTAAGTAATCAATCATTTTAATTGCAAATGTCCCAAAAATCCAATCGACCATGATGCATCTATTGACTTATTTTAAGCCGAACACAAATGTTGTATCATTTAAAACCCGTTTCCCCACAACTCCGGTGTCTTATGTTTTGTATATTCTTTAAAACATTTCACAAAATTGTGTTTATTATTGTTTTTTATGTGAAGAGCACTCATAAGTTATCATTTTTTAAAATTTAAATATTATTATAAATAAAAATTATAATTTTATTCAGTGTTGAGAAAACGGAATAAAGTTTTAATAATTGTGTCGATAAATGGCATTGAATTACATTTTTGTCGCTTTTAATGGCTTTAAAATTTGAAATAATTAATTGAAAGCTGTGTTTCATTCATTCATTCAGAGGTTAGAAGAGTTTGTATTTGTTTTGTTACAAATGAATATTACTTAAGAGTTAAAATCAAATTCATCTTAAGTTGTGGTAAGTATTGACTGCAACTCTAGCAAAGATTGTCTCTTTCTGTAAGTATAGTGAAAGTGCTGTATTTCGGGTCCTGTCAAGAGGTGCGGCAGAGTTAGTGACCCCTTTTTCCCTCTCATTTACTTATTTTATTGCTTTATTATAACTTATAATTTATAAGTTGTAATAATTCTTTAAATCTATTATTTAATTAGCGATTTATGTAAAATTTAAACTATAAAATACATTCAAAATATCTCAATGAAATTCTTAAGTTTTTATTTTTATAATTAAAGCTCTTCACGGTGGAAATTTTATTTCACTCAATTCAAATCTCTTAGCTTCTTTTAGACAATTTTAAATATTAGCAAGCAAATTTTATTCAGCTTATTGCCTGTTAGCACCATATTTACAAGAAAAATTCCGACTCTAACTATATATTTAAATATTTAATATTATTTTATGAGTTAGATATTTACTTATATAATATTTAAAATAAAACTCTGTCAAAACGACCTCTGATTATGTGATTCGTTTGCCCCTAAAGTCTTATACCATTATATTTAACAGAGGAAAACTTTTTAGTATTTTTAAGAGCTTTATTTATAATAAAACGATAATAAATAATTAATACAAATTAATTGAAACTTTATAAAACAAAATATAAACTTCTAAATAATAATATATGAGAGAAATAATGACTATTTAAACCACTGATGACTTAAGACGTGTGCCATATCTATTCGGGTTCGGGTATTGATATCCAATTGT